TCTTTATTATTTTATATCATAGTTGTTACATTGTATATAAGTTATAGCTTGTTTATTTTAAATTATGTGCAGGTATAAATGTTTATTTTTATTATTTTTCAATTTTGGCCTCAAACTGTATGCAGAATATGGTATGGCCGCAATCATCATTCAAAACTATCTTGATGATAACACTCAATTCCGGGTAGTTCTCATGTACGGGTAGACTGATCTTGAGCGTATTTTTGTCACCAGGTTTGATGGGACAGTTCACTCCCCACTGGCGGGCATTACTATAAATAATATACAGTATAAAATCAAGCTAGCTCATTAAAATGCCCTAATTAAGTTTAAATTGATAAACTCAAAATTTATCACGTACCTGGGTGTTATTGGGTATGGTACAAATTGTAAACCAAATGGGAATCCCAGATTTATCTAACAATTTATTTAGTATTTAAATTTTAATAAAATTATACTAGCTAAATACAAACCCCGCCAAAGATCGCTACAGTAGCCTCAGCTGTAGCCTCAGCTGACACACCAAACAAAATGTTTTCATAAAATCATTGATTTTTAGGATCAGATGTTTTTTATGGCTTACATGTCGTGAAGTCGACAGAAATGGACGCATTTTGTCCACACTTTAATATACAGCATTGGTCACAGGGTTTACAGCCTTTGACAGAGATATCGGTGACTTTCCCCTCAACTGAGCCACAGTCGGTGTACTTAATACATGAGACATGACTGGCCACTGATATAATTATTGTATAAACCGCGATAACTATCATTGACCTCATTGTTTCCTAGTTTAGGTAACTTTTTTGGTAATGAAATGTTATTTTTATGTTTGTGTCGAGGCTTTTATGTAAATTATTTTAATATTTATAATTGTATTTTTAGCAAATATAATGTGATTTACAATAGTTTGGTAAATTTATCATTATGATTTAACACTATTTTATAATTTATTAAAGTTTTAGGAATTTTTTACTAACATTTATTTCACTGAAGTGTGATTTAAACAATAAACAAAACATTTCTATAAAATTCATATTTTATATTTCAATTGAATACACGCAAAATACCTAATAAAAATAATAATTAAGTATTACTGTATATAAAAATGTCACAATATCCCTACAATCAGTATCGCAGAAATATGTATTTTAATCAATTACAAATTAAGTGTTTTACTTATACACTAAGGTTATTGAGAACTTTATTATCAATAAATTAATATAAATACTTTTTAGTAAAATCCATGAATTTTATTATAAAATAAAAATATTTATTTATTAAAACAGTTATACTTATTTAAGAATACATACTAGATTTAATTGTATAATACTGACTACACTCGTATGATTGCAGTCATAATTTAAAATATTTGCCAAAACAAACATAATTGTAAAATATATGCAAAATGTATTTACGATAAAACTGAGTTTATTTTATTATTTAAATATTTTTTACAAAGTATTTCATACTTTATTTAAATGCGATTGTGTTTATAATGTATAAGGGTTTACTTTATTTCAGCAGGGATCTCTTGGCAAATAAGTAGCTTTCCGTTGGCGTCCTCCAGTCCCACTCGGATGTGTAGTTTCACTTTAGGGTAGGAGCTCTCGACCGGCATCTTAAGCTTAAACTCCTGGTGACTGGCCTTGGCTACCGGGCAGTGGACACCCCAGTCCTTACACGCGTCGCTATAGAGTATTAAACAATGTATAAATGCATTTTCAGAAAATTGCCCTGGTTATAATATTTTTCATAATTATTGCCAGGCATTGAATCTAGCAAATGAATGTAAATGATAGATACCTTTGCGAAAACGGGAACTCAATTGTTTGTCC